ATACATGTAGGCAATCAGTTGCAGCATTGAGGCAATCAGTTGCATACAAGTAGGCAATTGGTTGCAGCATGGAGGTAATCAGTTGCAACATGGAGGCAATTTGTTGCAGCAGGGGATAATCAGTTGTATACAAGTAGGCAATTGGTTGCAGCATGGAAGTAATTAGTTGCAGCATGGAGGTTATCAGTTACAGCATGGAGGTAATCAGTTGCATGCAAATAGGCAATTGGTTGCAGCATGGAAGTAATCAGTTGCAGCATGGAGGTAATCAGTTGCATACAAGTTGGTAATTGGTTTCAGCACGGAGGCAATCAGTTGCAGCATTGAGGTAGTCAGTTGTAGCATGGGGTAATCAGTTGCAACATGTAGGCAATCAGTTGCAGCATAGAGGCAATTTGTTGTAGCAGGGGATAATCAGTTGCATACAAGTAGGCAATCAATTGCAACATGGAGGTTATCAGTTGCAACATGGAGGTAATTAGCTACAACATGTAGGTAATCAGTTGCAGCATGGAGGCAATCAGTTACAGCATGGAGGTAATCAGTTACAGCATGGAGGTAATCAGTTACAGCATGGAGGTAATCAGTTGCAGCATGGAGGTAATCAGTTGCAGCATGGAGGTAATTGTTGCAACAATAGCATTAAGTGACAGATTATAAAGTTATAAACAGTCTCTGTAATTCAATAAAACATTGGTAATTACAAAATAGGATATCATGGATGTACTAAAAAAAAAACATTTTGAAAATTAGCATTTCTACAACTTATAAATACAATACTGTATTCTAGTTTGTCATGTATATTACATATTTCTATAAAATAACAAATTTTATTAACAATTTTTAAAATCTCACATACAATAAATTATACATCTTTCTGTGTAAATAGTTCATTTGTAGGGGAGAATATAGAGTGTCTGTATTTATACTGGTATAGATTCACAACAAACAGTCAAGGAATCTTTCAATTTATATTATCCATCCTCTCCACATAAGACACATTTTTAGTAAAAACAGTGTAACATTGGAAATTGCAGGTTCAATTCCTGTGATTTGCTAAAAATTAGAACATCTGACATGCTGGTCAGACAGATATAGGCAGAAGAAAGCTATCCAATTGGGCATACTTATTAATGGTAGGATGTGTTCTATTTTTACCGATAGCTAAATGCACTAAATTTCTTTCTATAGTACTGACCACTGTGTTTACAACTATAAACAGAAACCCTTGAACGTAGCTACATGTGATGTAGTTTTGTTTTCAAGTACAAAGGGAAAAATGAAAATGCACAAAGTGAGTGGTCTTTGTGATTGCCTACCTGCTGGGTTTTACATCACTGTAGATATATACAAGTATTGAGGGATACTACTCAAATTGATAAGAACAGACAAATGAATGAAAAGCACTGAAATAAGAATTAAAATTACAAAAATGTAAAATACAAAGTACATGCAATGTTTGTAGTTATTTGTTTGATATAACATTTGGTCCTAGACAGGCAAGAAAGAAATGCTAAGACAACAAATTATTAAAATGCATGACAACAAGGGAAAGAGATTATTATTCAAAAAGCTAAAATGTGTTCACTGTATAGCCTGGCAGTGATTGACAGATCATTATCAAAATAAAAATGCCTTTTTGCAAATTATGCAAAATGAAATGCATGTAACTGACACTTTATGACAACATTGAAATAAACAAATAAAAGTACAACCAATTGTTTGAACAGATCATAAACCAAATAGCGAGTAAACATATACAAATACTTGCTATCTGAGAGGCTACACACAAGAAATAAAAAGATAGATTTTGAATAAACTGATAAAACAAAATGATGTGACTAATAAGTAGCCCACTCTATGTAATCAAGTTTGAATGAAGTCAGTTCAGGTATATTCAAGAAAATGTCTGCTCGAAGGAACAGACATGCTTGTCAGCCATCTTGGATATAATCAAACACTGAACTGACTCACACATGTACATTTTGTACAACTACATTATGTTTTTACACCAATTTTTGATGAAATTGCACACACAGAAAGACAGACATAACATATTTGCAGGTTTGTTCATTTCTTGCTGTTTGTGCTTTCTATGTTTTTGATTTTCTTCCTTACAAAATAATAGTCTATGAAATGTTGTCTTGGAATTGTTATGTTCCTCTTAGTTCTGGTGATATATAGTCCATCAAACAGACTCAAATTCACAGAGATGTACAAAATAATCTATGAGACATCTATTTATTTTTAGCCTATTTATATGTAAATAGATGGTGTAATTTGTGAGACATTAACAGGAAGAAAAGTGTTGCAAGACGACATTTCCAATAGTCGTGATAGTTAAAAATTAGTTTCTGTAAAAATGCAAAAAAGAGTTTCTGTACGAGAAAACTGAGCAATTTTAGCGAGAGTGAATGATAACTCAAACAAAATACCTGGTATTGCGTTTCTAATATATTTAAGACTTTTTGCAATGAGAAACAGCTTAAATCAGTATGCAATAAAATTGAAATTATGTACCGAAAGCATTGCGCACAGTAAATTTTATAAATCACAGTAAATTACATTACATTACATAATAATTTTAAAAATGTATATTTTTCTACTTTTATTCCCTGTTGCTTACCTCAAAATGGGAGCTAAGATCTCATTATTTGTATGGGGACAATGTTACTAACAGTGAATGAATTTTTCACATACAAATGAGTTGCACTTTGTTTTTCTTTTACTTTTGATCTGACCAACTTCAAGGTAGTCTTGTTCCAAACTCTGCAATTATCGAACATAACGTCACACTGCAAGTAAGCAATATGATGCAGATTACTGGTATATTCTTGAAATAAAACAATTTTTATTGGTTAGGTTTGGCTTGGTTGGGTAACTTACTCGTGTGGATGAGTTCTGTATTGGAGTTCATGTGAATGGGTAACCGATAAAATTTGAAGATGACACCGAACATCTTGATGTAATCAGATTGTAACTGTACAGCAAAATATGACACCATATTTGTAAAAACTTATAATCCTATTGATATTACAATATATGCAAACTCATATAAGGAAGCTCACTGCCAAATCTGCAGAACCATTAGCATGATCTAAGGCCTGAGACAACTGTGAAATGTCATGATCTGGAAACATTTCAATTAACTGGTCAAGGGGCCGACCTGACCTTTGATGACTGGCTGAATTTGGCATGCTCATGTGCGAGGCAGTGCTGGTAGTAGTGTCACTGCTATGATCAGATGCTGATGACCTAACTTTAGGTTTGTTCTCAAATCTTCTTAGGAATTCATCGTTTTTTTTCTTGCGATCTTCATCCCACATTTCTTTTCTGTTCTCTGCTCGTTCCTTGTTCCTTTCGGTTTGTTGTCTGGCCTTCGCCTTCTTCTCTCTAAGTTGTGCTTCTTCTTGTGCTTTTTGTTTCTCTCTATAAGTAGCTCTGGCTGTTCTTTGCTGCACTGCATTCTGCCGTTGTTCGACTGATTGTTTTCTCCGAACTTCATGTTCAGTCACCGCCCCTCCTCCTATTGTCTGTGGCGGCAAGGAAATATAGTCAATTCGTTTGCTGGCTTTATGTTCCTCGTACATTCTTTCTTCCTCCGCAGCTTGACGTGCGACCTGGTTTCGTCTTTTTTCGTTCGGTGTTATTTTCGTGAAGGCACCACAATATTCAGCTCGCTGCTTCAAATCACCAGCTTTCCCATAATCTGTACCTGGGTTAACCTCCCCGTCTTCCATTTTACTTTGTTCAACTGATCGTCCCTGCCTCCCAACTCCAGGGACTTTAGTAGGGTTTCTTCTCGGGCTTGGATTGCGTCTTTGACCAGCGTTTGTACCACGGCCTCGACTGGCAGCACCACGCACTTTAGTATTCGACGGTCTGGGGTTGTACGTATGACTCATGATTTCAAACTAAAGTGACATCATCGTAATTCTTGGATTTCCCCTGTCGCCATGTATTTGTATCTAAATATATGCGTCATTGGTAATCGGAGCACGGAGTAAACAGTAATACAATGTCACAATCAAACAACAGACACAATTATTATTCACGCAAACGACCAAAACGATGTTACATGGCACATACGGTTTTCATAACAGAGAGTACATACAGTTTCCATAACAGCCAGTTGACATTAGTTAGTGGAGATAATAAAGCACAACTAACAACCACAATAAACGGACCCTTCATGTGTATTGTCATTCTACAATATCGTACAGCTCCAGCAGTGGTTTAGGAAAACACATTGCTTATTCTGTCTTCTATGAGTTAATAAAAATTCTACTATATTATATTATTAATACTCCCCATTACTTGAAGTTTTTCTGGCTAATAATATATAAATTTATATATTTTTTATTAATTATGGAAGTGCTAAGTGGTCTAATGCCAGGTGTCACTGATTGGACTCCGTGATGACCCTGCGTATTGTAGATCCCGATAGCTGTTCTGTAAATGAGTATTTTTGTTGTTATTTGACATCAATTATCTCAACATAATCATAACCTACGCTACAGTTGTAGTTTAACTTAACCATAAACATACACGATGGCTGGAATATTAGACATTGCACAACTCAAACGATTGTCAGAACACAAGTACTCTTCCCATGGAACGTCGATCACCGAGCCAGTGATGCAACCTTTCTGGCGATGGTTAGTCGAGAAAATCCCTGAAACAATTGCACCGAACACGATTACCAGTATGGGACTTCTGATAAATATATTGACATCTACGATTGTGTATATGTACTGTCCAACAGCGACAGAAGAGGTGAGTGCACTAGTCTGTATTCATTTTGTAAGGGTAGCAGATGGAAAAAATGAGGTCGCTGTTTGTGTTGTATTGAACTCATGACTGGACTTTAAACCTACAGCCAGTCCACGTTACAACACTCGTTTGCCACGTTGTAGAAAAAAGTATTTAATTTAAAACTGTATTTAATAATCTTTAAACTTGCAATGTACTTTGGAGTCATGCAACTTTTACACTGTAGTCAACAAACCGGAAAGAGTTCCCTTTGTATCCTCATCCTCATCCCAAGCCCCCCAAAATCAATTGTATATGCTCCCTCTAGATAACTATAAGTGTCTTTAAGAGGGGCATATCTAGTTAAGTTTGGGAGTGCTGGTTAGGGGTAGAATTAGGGCTAGGGGGTTCAAAAGGAACTCAAACCAGTGTTTATTCTTAGAATTTACTCAGAAGTGCATTGCGAATAGAAGCACATGCTTGTATAAACCACAAATTGCATTATTATATTCTAGATCATTGAAATGTACCTTTTTTCACCATAGCCACAATATTGTCATATACATACACTTCTAATATAGAAAATACAGTATCTATATTTATTAGTCCATTTAGTTTTACAATCTGATCAAAGATGCTTGACTGCATGTTTTTTGACCATACTACTATATCTCTGTACATGAGCCTTTTGGATACAAAAAAAAATGCATGAGTAGCATATGTAGTTTATTTTCTTCCCCAAACAGTCATGTTGGAACATACTCAGAAAAATGATTTTAAAGTATAGTAAACCGAGGTACGTGTATGTGATCAAAAGTCTCGAAAGTTTGTTTACGTTACTCCTTGATTGACAGGTCACTGTTGATGATATATGCAAATGAGTTTCTGGCCTCAGTAAGGTGCGGCGATGTGTGACTTCCTGTCCTGTCGCCATGTTTACTTCAAGCATGATCAACTAGCCTCGCAAACTACAAAAAATCAGACAACGCGTAGGTGCTTCCAGCATGCAAGTGAAATATAAAAAAAAATATTATAAATGATGAGTAAACTTTTTCACCCTTATCTCGCAACATGTCGACAACTTCTAGCCTGGCAATGGTATACAGTGAAATAATTTGATTTTTTATTTGTTTTCATGTAGGATGAAGGCCCGATAGTGCGATTTAGTTTTCGCACAAGACAAGGCCACAATTTCTTTTGTTCTGTTCGTGCTTGGTCTAACTGAAACTGGAATAGTGTTGGGCTTCGCATAGTTAATTTCTTCGGGATCGCGAAAAAATGTATTATACAAAGGTTTGAGGAAAGGTAAATTTATACTCAAACCACCTAATTGCAATCACTATGTTTATATAACTGTATGAATATCTCATCGGCTTTACGTAATCCATTGTGTCCCTCCCTCAGTGGAATTGATAACATGACGCCATGACAGTTTTCATTCAAGGTTCTGACTTCGCAAATGATTTATCGACCATTTCCCTCAAATTGTGAATATATTTATTTTATTTTTTATGTGATGATTGAACATCAGCATTATGGTGGATTTGGGCATTTAGTCGTGATGCGATAGCCATTTTTGTGGACGATAAATGTCACCTTCGTAAAACGGGCATTATCCTCGTTCATGTTTTCTGGTTGGTCAGAGAAATTAAACCTTATTTAGCTCTCAAAGTTTTTGTCAGGTTGACTTGAAATTTTGAAACTACATGTTTTTCGGCGATGTCTCTACGAACAAAAGGACATCTGAGCCTATTTGAATATTGAATATATCATATAGCTTGACAATTTTGTAGTCAACAAACAAAACAAAACATGCTAAATATACGCCTGGACACAATTGTAAGAGCTTGTACAATTGATTGTATCCGTTTTCTATATTTTAAAATCGTTTTTTTGGGTATGTTCCTCTATTCATAATGTTGCAAGAATATCTGGGTGATAAAAAGCAAAAAAAAAATAGTTTATTCCCAAGTGCCCACGAACCAGCATCTTTACCTTTTTGGTTCGTATCACTTTATTTTTGGCATGAATAACATTCCCTTAATTCCAACGGGGACTATGTCATCAACAGTGAGTTATATTTTGAATGAATCTCATTCCAATTCAAACATGGTGACTGCAGTGGCTATCAGGCACCTGCCTTCGTTCCATGCAATGATAAATTGCACATAATTTAGAAAGCCTATGAAGATTTGTGGTTGGTCATCACTTTCCCAACTCGCCATTATTTACTGTAGTTAGTCCACCAATTCCTGAAATTATTTCATTATGATGGAATCAATAGACACTGTTTACACTGTGCTGTGAGAAGGTCTCTTATGTTAGTGGTAACAGGATAGATACAGTTGAACTAAGTAACCTATGGTATAAATAGTCCACCATCATATTGTATGTGGGCATTTGCTTACATTGTTCCCAGGATTTATAGAATGAGAGTACTGGTAAGCAAATGTGTGATATGGGATGAAGATCTTGCATGAAATGAGAAACAAAATCACCAGACAAACCTACGTTTCTAAAAATTGTAGTGCAAATTAATGAGTCTCAGTCGTCATAGATTATATAGGCAGGGTATATGAGGGGAAAATGTTAACATCGTAAAATTTTTACTTATCGTTATAATAACAGTTTTTGGATATTATCATGGTGAGGTCATGTCTGTTTTGGGAACAGCATTTTAAAAAATTCTCACAACATCAAAATACATTTGCAAGCCAATATTCTTGACAACAAGAAAATTAAACAGTGACATTATAGTGTCACGCACTAAGTCGCAGAACTCAGCAATCAATTTCATATTTGAAAAAAGCACTTTTTTGAATCTGTACTTTTGAATTAACAATAAATACATAAATAAATGCTGCCATGAAAGGAAGATTTTGATATTTCAGTTTAAAAGCTTTTTTGGCTGACTATTATATTTTACCTACAGGTATTTGTAATTAACATATGCTATGTTTACATGACAGCATTTTATTGGAGCGGAACTCCTGCTTCTTCCACTGATTAACAGGAGAATATCACATGGTTGGGGTGAACATAATCCGATTCCGCCCGAGTTCAATCCAGTTTGTTCAGAGCCGAAAGGTACAACACCCTCATTTACTTAGTATGAATAAAACACAGCTGAAAACGATTCTGGTGTTTTTTTTAGGCTCCAAGCTGGGTGTATATCCAAGTAGCTTTGGGTTTATTTGCATATCAAACGTTAGATGCAATCGATGGTAAACAAGCGAGAAGAACACATACCAGTTCACCGTTGGGGGAGCTGTTTGATCATGGCTGTGATTCCGTATCAACTGGTAAGTAGCTTGGGATTTTTGTTGTTGAAAGGACAGATACTGCAAATTTTCAGTATTTTTGCGAATATTTATATAAAAAAAAATTATTATAAGAAAACGTATCAGATATGCTCACTGTGGACACTTTCAATGTAAATTAAAACCACTTTCATGTATTAAAAGTTTTCATATAGCATTATTACTTTTGTTAAGGTGCTAATGAAACGATGTTCTGTTCTGTTCTGTTCTGTTCTGTTCTGTTCTGTTCTGTTCTGCTCTGTTCTGCTCTGCTCTGCTCTGCTCTGTTAACGGCTATTAGTTAACCCATAAAATAGGAAAGTGTAGTAATGAGGTCAATGACCTGATTTCCTCAGCATATCTTTGCAAGATAAGTGTGACCAATTGAGTTGATTTTTGCAATCAGTGAATTTGTAACAATCTATAACTTTACTGCACTTACATATATAGCAATATACCGTACTCGACAATTTTAATTCACCATGTGACAGATTGAGGGGGATATAACGACTACATGTATAACGAGTTGCATCATCATTTTTACAATATTAATACCTACCACCTGAATTTTCGAGATTAAAAATATTAGAGCCTGTTGGAACACAGTAGAAGTCAAAATCTTAATCATTATCTCCACTGATGAATGTGTTGCCTCGTACGCAAATTCTCGATGAAAAGCACTTTCCGCCATATTGTATTTGTATAATTTGACCTGCAACAATGTTCTTCGACCTAATTGGTCAAGTATGTTATTAACCAATCAGAATGCTGTGTTGTACAGATGCAATTCTTCGGAACACGGTCGAGTACGGTATCATCATCTTGTTTTTTATGATGTATACTATCTTAACTGAAAACCTTAGTCCTAATGGCCTGAATGAGTGTACAAGTGTTTTGTTTGGATAGTTTATACTGAGTTCATTTTAAATAGCTATCTGGTTTAGACTTGACTTCAGTTTAGATGGGTATTTAGTTTAAATTGGGCTTAGTTTAGATAGGTATTATGGTTCAGACTGGGTTCAGTTTACATAGGTATTTAGTTTAAACTGGGTTCAGTTTACAGGAATTTGGTTCAGACTGGGTTTAGTTTAGACAGGTACATAGTGCAGACTGGGTTCAGTTTAGAGAATTCTACTGTTTATACTGAATGATGTGTTTCACTGTTTAATACATGATACTTATTTATTGTTTTCTACTAGTTTATGTTGGTATAGCAACGGGATGTGCACTGCAACTTGGTTTTCATCCAGGCTGGCTGATGTACATGATTTCCGTTGGAGTTTTCTTATTTTACACAGCGCACTGGCAAGCCTATGTATCAGGAGAATTAAAATTTGGAAAGTAAGTGTTTACATGTTGAATTTATTATTAGTACCAGTAAACTTATTATCATGGTTAACCTTTTCACCACTAGTCCCCTCTTTTCATGCAATTTAACTAAATAATATCATTGAATGAAGTTCAATATGAGTGTACCAATTGCTCCACCAATTGCTCCACCAATTGCTCCACCGATTGCTCCACCGATTGCTCCACCAATTGCTCCACCAATTGCTGATACAAAGAACACAATTCATAATAGATAATTTCAATTATGTGTTGTCCATGCTAGCAGAATATTGATCTGTTGTTGGATGGATTGAGTCCCCAGCAAAGGTACAGAGATACTCCAGCAAAAACTTAAATGTACATACGAAAAATACCAAGGTGAAAAATCAAGCTGTCATGGGAGACATGCTTAACAGGTGGATGATTCTTCAATGTACTTAGTTGTGCAAGTCACATGGTTAGAATCAGACTTTTGACGTTTGCAATGGCTATTAAACATATGAATTATATTCTTAAATTAAACAAGTTATATATTTTTACAACATATTACTAATCCTTATAATACTAAATGCAATTATTAAAGAGCAAAATTTGGCATATACTCAAAAAAGTATTGTTCTTAATGATTCCTCAATCTGGAATTATATATCAAAATAAATAAATAAATATTTCCTATCAAGCCATGTTTGAAAAATCCATTAAAATCATAAAATTATTTACTCAAAAAATTATGACTTTTTATTGTTTTCACGAGTTACATCAATTCTTGGCAGAACATGTAATTCCTTTTAAAAATATTATTATTAATTCTTTGGGTCAAAAAACATGTAATTTTCCTTGAGTGGCCATAGTATTTACTGTGTGGAGCTACGACACAAGTTATTTTCTGTGTGGAGCCACGACATGAGTTATTTACTGTGTGGAGCTACGACATGAGTTATTTACTGTGTGGAGCCACAACATTAGTTATTTACTGTGTGGAGCTACGACACAAGTTATTTTCTGTGTGGAGCCACGACATGAGTTATTTACTGTGTGGAGCTCCGACATGAGTTATTTACTGTGTGGAGCCACGACATGAGTTATTTACTGTGTGGAGCTACGACATGAGTTATTTACTGTGTGGAGCCACAACATTAGTTATTTACTGTGTGGAGCTACGACATGAGTTATTTACTGTGTGGAGCCACGACATGAGTTATTTACTGTGTGGAGCCACGACATGAGTTATTTACTGTGTGGAGCCACAACATGAGGTATTTACTGTGTGGAGCCACGACATGAGTTATTTACTGTGTGGAGCCACAACATGAGGTATTTACTGTGTGGAGCCACGACATGAGTTATTTACTGTGTGGAGCCACGACATGAATTATTTACTGTGTGGAGCCACGACATGAATTATTTACTGTGTGGAGCCACGACATTAGTTATTTACTGTGTGGAACCACCATGTGCATCATTTGTATCATATGCAGATAATTGTGATTTATTGTATCATGGTGAAAATACACTGATGAGCTGACAGAGTGTCTTTTATTATTACAGATTAGATGTGACAGAAGCTCAGTTCCTTATCATATTCATCTATCTATTATCAGGCATATTTGGGCCATTATTTTGGGCTACCAGGGTAAGTATTTCATACAACTCAAAAAGTATAATGTAAATTAAATTATAAACAACTTCTACTTCAATGCTCCAGCATGCAATTAATTTTGTGGTATACATGTGCTTTCAGATATGTACATGTACCTTTGATTAATGTTTTGATTGGAAACTGCACAAGCAAATATCTGCATCCTGGTTGCAAATACTTCAGGCTATTTCAACGTCAGAAATAATTACAGCACATATTCTGGAGATACTCTTTTATGTGTTATGTATTTTTATGTAATTTGTAGCAACATATTAATCCTTTGAGCATCATTGTCAACTTTTGTCACATCCACAAAATGATTTTCTACAGCCCCCCCCCCCATATAAAATGTTGATAAAAATTGCCAAAAAACTGAAGAAAACTGTCTGTGTGGTTCGAAATTATGATGAAATTTAGGTACAGTTTTACAAAATGTTAATATAGTAATCCTGAATTTTGGCCGGGAAAAATATCTTGCAGTCGAAGGGTTAACATGTTTTTATTAGTCCCCGTTTGGACGCAGTTCGAAAACGGGGACTTATGTTTTGACCTCCGTGTGTCCGTGCGTGCGTGCGTGCCTGTGTGTGTGTGTGTGCGTGCGTTTGTGCGTGCGTTCGGACCTGTATCTTAGAAATGCCTGAACCAATCACAATCAAACTTCACACATACATCATACATGATATTATACATATGCACGTCAATTTGTTTCACGATTTGATTCAAGATGGCCGAATGGCGGCCATTTTTGTGCTAAAAATCATCAAAATCAAGCATTTCTCGACTGTTTACAGATGGATTTTGTTCAAATTTGGTATATACATTAGACATTTTAGAACC